CTGCTAGGGCTCTGAGGCGGGTGGGCCACCCTTGGGAGGCGTTGTCGAATTGTTTAGATAGATAAGCTACGGGTGTGTAGGAAGGAGAACTTCCATGGTTTTCGGCTGTGTAGAGAATGAAGGGCTGAGAGATGTCAGGCAAAGACAGAGCAGGAGCAGTGATGAGGGCAGCTTTAAGTTTGTGGGAGCTGGGGATTATGTTGTGTGAAGGGTTTAGGGACTCATTGACAGAGCCTGTAGCCGCTTCATCGAGGGGGCGGACTAGGAGGGCAAAACTGGGAATCCATATTCTGAAGAAGCCTGCTAGTCCAGGAAAGAGAGGATTTCACCCTTAGAGGTGGGTGGGGACAAGCTGTCTATTAGTGCTGCTGTGCTGAGGTCATGGCTCTGGCCCTGGTGGGAGAGTTGGACTCCTAAGTACGTTACTGTTGGAATGGAGAGTTGTGCTTTGGAGGGGGAAACCCTACATCCTTCATTAGAAAGAAACTTTAGAAGGGTAATAGTGTGAGTTTGAGAGTCCTCTAGGGAGGGGCCGCAGAGGAGAAGGCTGAGGTTGTTCACATACCAGAGAGAAGGTTGTTTGCGTACCGGAGGAGCCGACTAGGGGACAGGTTTAGAGAGGTGACGTTTTGAGCTAGAGCTTGCCCAAAGAAATGGTGACTGTCATCTTTAAAGCCTTGGGGGAGGGCTGTCCAAGTAAGTTGTCTGACTGGAGGGTTTCAGGTTCAGTCCAAGTGAAAGCAAAGAGATCTGGGGAGTCAGCGTGAAGAGGAATGTAAAAAAGGCACCTGTTAGGTCTACCACAGTGTAACGGGTTGTGTCTGGAGGGATGAGGGAAAGGCGTGTGTAGGAGTTGGGAACTACGTGATGGATGGGAAGGACCGCCTGACTGAAAGCTTGGAGATCTTGGAACGACCTTTGTGGCAGGGAGTATAGAAGTATTGTATGGAGAAGGAGTTGGCCTAAGGTGGCCTTGCAAGAGGGGTCTGTTGACAATAATTGTAAGCCTTTTAGGTGTGTTCATGAAATGGGATACTGAGAGACATTAGGAAATTTGGAGGGGTCGTTTAGCTGGGTTTTGATGGGGTCATGGTGAGCTGCTAGAGAAGGGTTAGTGGTATCCCACACTATTGGATTAACAAGAGAAGTCAGGAGTGGATATCTTGGGGAAGGGTCAAGGGCTGGTGTGGTGACAGAGAGGAGTAGGAGAGAATCTGGTTGTGGGGAACAGAAAAAGGTGATGGAAGCTTTGAATTTAGTTAGGAGATTTTTGCCTAGATTGGGGGTAGGGCAATGAGGCATGATAAGGAAAGAGTGTGAGAAAACAGTATGAAATAGGGAACAAGTAAGAGGTCTGGTGGCACGTGGGTGTGAGATGAGTCCGCCAACCCCCACAACTGAGACCTGAGAGGCATGAGTGGGTCCTGAGAATTCAGGCAAAGCTGAGTACGTGGCCCCAGTATTGATTTAAAAAGAGATCGGCTTGCCTGCTGCTAGCAGAGTTACCCTGGGCTCTGATGCCGTGATGGCAGATGGGGCTAGGGGCCCTGAGCCTCAGCAGTCTTCAGTGGCTAGGCCGAGCAGCTGCAGGAGTGCAAGCGATTCTTCCCTTTTTGTCTTGCTGAGCTGATGGTGGCTCTGAGGTGCAGGCTCTTCTGTCCGTCTGTTGAGAGGAGTCAGACTTCCAGGGGACTGTCTGCCGGCAGACTGGGCAAGGGCTTTTCGGCCCTCTTGGGTTAGGACATGCCCTCGCCCAGTGACCTTTTTTTGATGCTCTTAAAACAAGGCCCGGGAGGGCCACTGCTATCAGGTCTTTTTGTGCCGTTGGGTACTATGGCTAGGCTGACGGATAGCTGCAGCTCGAGGCTGGTATTTAGCACGATCTCTTTGGACTTTATCTAACTTACTCTGCTTATTTCTGTTATTGAAGACTTTGAAAGCCAGGTTAAGGAGGTCTTGTTGTGGGGTTTGAGGGCCATCTTCAGCCTTTTTAAGTTTGCACCAAATGTCAGGAGCAGATTGGGAGATAAAATGGATATTAAGAACAATAGTTTCTTCTCGGGAAGCAGGGTTGACGCAAGCATATTTTTGGAGAGCCTCTGTAAGGTGGGAAAGGAATTGGGCAGGATTTTTATCTGCCTTTTGGGAACTTTCTTTAAGTTTTTCAAAATTTACGGCCCTATAGGCAGCCTTGTTAAGGCCTGAAATAAGGCAAGTAATCATATGGTTGTGGGATGCCTGACCGGGGTCTGTGGGTTGGTGCTCTCAGGAAGGCTCTTCCCGGGGGACAGCAGCGGCTCTTTCGGGCTTAGTAGGGTCTCGCCGATGAAGATCCTCCGCATGTTCCTGGGCCGTGAGCCACACTCTTTCCTTCTTTTCCGGAAGGAAGGTAGAAAAGAGAATAATATAGAGATCATGCCAAGTGAGTTCGTAAGACCGGGTGAGATATTTAAATTTGTTGATATAAGTGTCGGGATCAGAGGAGAAGGACCCAAGACGCTTTTCAATATGGGGCAGATCGGAGAGGGAGAAGGGGACACGGACACGAACAATTCCTTTAGCCCCTGCTATCTCCTGGAGGGGAAGCAAGGGGGCCCAAGGGAGCCGGTTGCTGGGCATGTTGGGCTTGGGAATGGTTATGGGGCCGGGAGGATTCAGAGCCAGAAGGGAGGTGGCTGGGGGAGAAGTAGGGCTGGAGTGCGGAGGTACAGTGGATTGTGATGTTTGGGTGGGAATTATGATGTGGTTGAGGAGGAGGAAAATCGACGGGGTCAAAGGAAGAGGAATCGTTGGCTGGGGCTGTGGGAAGTGTGGCAGGAAAAGAGTTGTCAGCCGGGGCTGTGGGGAGAGCGACAGGAAGAGAGTCAGGTTTGGAACGAGAGGAAGCTTTGGAAAATAGAGCAGGACCGGCCGAGGGAAGGATGGTTACAGAGGGTGAAGAAAGCCTGAGCATAAGGCATCTCAGACCATTTCCCACTGCAGTGGCAAACACTGTCTAAGTCTGTAAGTATGTTGAAATCAAAAGCACCATTTTTAGGCCATTGGGAGCCATTGTCTAATTTGTATTGAGGCCAAACGGTATTACCATAAAAGATAAGCCTCTTAGGACAGACTTCTGAACAGAGGCCAAGAGTATTGATATTACGCAGGAGACACCCAAGGGAGGTAGTTTTGGAAGGGGTAGAGTAACAGGCTCCCATTGCACATGGGGGAGGGAGGGAGAGGAAGAAGAGACTGCTGATTGACAAGGATGGCAGGAGACGGAGTCCCCTGTTCTGGGGGCCCTGTCCGGAATTTAGGAGGTATCCTCTGAGTCAGGCTTCCCTGAAATGGAGGAACCAGAGGCCTGGAGGCTGGAGGAAGCCCTTGGCCCAGTGCTGGGTCTTTTGGGAAGACAGAGACAGTCAACAGTTCCGGGTAAACGGCAACAGTCTCTCTGACTCACCCCGGCAGAGGCTCTGACGGTGGATGTGGTCACCAGCAACGGGAGAGTCTGGGAGATCCTCTGGATCTTTGGTAGGTTCGGGAAGCAGAGGATGGCCAGCAGAGAAGTGATAGAAGAGAGAGGTAAGGAGAGAGAAAGAGCGAGGGAGAGTCCCTTAAGGATGCCCAGCTACAGCGCACCCCTCCTGGGTTTCGGCACCAATAATGTAAGGGTAGCTGAGAGAAAGGAGAATAGACCCAAAGTCAGGCAAGCCAGTTTTATTAACCTGCCGGGCTGCTCCATAACTATCAGAGGAGGCAGCTTGTTCCTAACAAAAACAAGAACCGCTGGTACCTTCCCTGAGTTTGCATTAATTGCACTCCTATCATGGGAAGACAGGTTGAAGTCTGTTAGGACACTTGGACAGACTTTTGTCACAGACCATCGTCTGCTCTGTGGGCACAATGGACTTTGTCGCAGACCTTTGTATCTTCTCCAAGCCCATTGTATCCCCCTAAAAATAACTTCCTACCTCCCTAAAATCATCCACAGTTCCCCATCTTCCTTTCTCATATGAAGAAGCCTGTACTAGCCCGTTGTGTGGCAGGGTAATCACCCTGAGATTTCCCTCATGCACATTAATAAAAATGTGTATGCCTTTCTTTTAATCTTCCTTCTGTCAGTTGGTTTTCAGGCAACTGTCAGAGGGCAGAGAAGTTTGCCCTGAGGTCCTGCACTAGCAACTCCTAAGTTTCATTATCCTAGTATGTAGGTATTGTTTGTTTTTCAAAGAAGCTCAAGCTTATTACAGAAAACTTGAGAAACACAAAACAAGTAGAAACAAAGAAAAAATATACACAAACATAACCTTAGAGATGTCATTTTGCTATGGTCTGAATGTTTGTGTCTCTCCAAATTCATATGTTGAAGCCTCAGTGGCATTGGGAGGTGGGGCCTTTGGGAGGGGATTAGGCCTTGAGGGTCGAGTTTTCATAAATGGGATTAGTGCTCTCATAAAAGAAACCTGAAGGGGCTTGTTTGCCCTTTCAGCATGTGAGGATACAGGGAAAAGACACCATCTGTGAATCATAAATTGGGTCTTCACCTGACACCCAACCTCACAGGGCCTCGAACTTGGACCTTGCAGCCTCCAGGACTGTGAGAAATAAATTGCTGTTGCTCCTAAGTCACCCAGTCTATAGGGTATTTTGTTACAGCAGCCTGAATGGACTAACACATTTTTATTTTAAAGTTTGAGCTCTAGCAATGGAGTCAGACAGCAAGAGAGCTTGGAGACTCACCTCTCTCAACAAGGGAGGAGAAAGTTGAGAAGTGCCATGAAAATATTCCTACTTCATCTGGGGCCTCGTAGCAACCATCTCTTGCTGGTAAGGCCTGGGCCTCTCCCGGCCCCAGGTCACAGCTGGTCCTTCTTGGTGAGATGACCTTTCCTACCACATATTCACCATATGCACCTCCGACCTCCCTTGGGAAAGTACTGGCATCTGTGCTCCACCAGGCCTCAATGTCTCCGCCTTCAGATTAACCCATGGCTTTCTTTCTCTTTTTGTTCCAGACAGGAATTATTTCCCTCTACGACTGTGTTTTTAAGAGGCGCCTAGATTATGATCAGAAGTTGCACCGAGATGACAGAGAACACGCAAAAAGCCTGGGACTTCATGTTAATGAAGAGGTAATATTAAGACAGAATATTAACAGGTTGTCAACAGATTAACAAAACTCTGTACAGGCATATCTAGTTTTATTGGACTTCACTTTATTGGCTTTCATAGATACTGCATTTTTTTTTCCTTTTTTTTTTTCTACATCTCAAGCTCATTGTTTACTAGATACTGAATTTTTTTACAAATTGAAAGTTCGTGGCAACCTTATGTCAAGTAAGTCTGTTGGTGCCATTTTTCCAGCAGCGTGTGCTCCCTTCCTATCTCTGTGTTAGCATTTTTTAACAATAAAGTATTTACAGATTAAGATCTGTACCTTTTTCAGACATAATGCTATTGCACACTTAATACACTATGGTGTAGTGTAAATATAACTTATATATGCACTGAAATCCCCCCAAAATTTTATGACTCACTTTATAGTGATATTTACTTTATTGCCATGGTTTAGAATCAAACCTGCAATATCTCTGAGGTATGCTTGTGTGTGTGTGTGTGTGTGTGTGTGTGTGTGTGTGTGTGTGTGTGGTGGAGGGTGCATGTACAGTTATGCATCACTTAATGACAGGGGTTCATTCTGAGAAATTCATTGCTAGGCGATTTTGTCATTGAGTGAACAAGTACCTAACACAAATCTAGATAACATGGTTTACTCCACACCTAGGCCAGTATGGTACAGCTTATTGCTCCTAGGCTACCAATCTGTACAGCATGTTACTGTATAAAATATTGTAGACTGATTATAACACAATGGTAAGTATTGGTGTATCTAAACGTAAAAAGGTACAGTAAAAATATGGCATAAAGGATAAAAAACGATACATTTGTGTGGGCATTTACCGTGAATGGAGCTTGCAGGACTGGAAACTGCTGTGGGTGAGTCAGGCAGTGAGTGGTGAGTGAATGTGAAGGCCCAGGGCATTACTGTGACTACCATAGCCTTTATAAACACTGTATACTTTGGCTGCAGTAAATTCATTAAATTTTTTTCTTGAATAATAAATTAACTTTAGCTTACTATAACTTTTTAACCTTATAAACTTTTTAATTTTAAAAACTTGATGACTCTTTTATGGTAAAACTTAGCTTAAAATACAAACACATTGTACAGCTGGACAAAAATATTTTCTTTATCTCTTTAAAAGGTTTCTCTTTTTATTTTTTTTTAAGCTTTTAAAGGTTTTGGTTAAAAACTAAGACACAAACACACACTGTAGCCTAGGCCTACACAGGGTCAGGATCATCAGTATCACTGCCTTCCACCTCCACACCTTGTCCCACTGGAAGGTCTTCAAAGGCAATGACACACAACACGATGGAGCTGTCAACTCCTATGCTAACAATGTCTTCTCTGGAATACCTCCTAAAGAACCTGCATGAGGCTTTTCTACAGTTAACTTTAAGAAATAAGTTGAAGGAGTACACTCTTAAAATAGCAATAAAAAGTATCATAAATACATAAACCTATGTATAATAAACGCATAGTCATTTATCATCGTTGTCAAGTACTATGAGCTGTACATAATCGTATGTGCTGTATTTTATATGACTGGCAGCACAGTACGTTTGTTTTCGCCAGCATCACCACAAACACATGAGTAATGTGTTGTGTTACGACATGACAACTATTATGACATCATTAGGTGACAGGAGCTTTTCAGTTCTATTAGGTTTTGCCATTTTAATGGCAAAAACAGCAATTACGTTTGCACCAATCTAATATTATAACCTTATTTGGACTACCATCATATATGCAATCCATCATTGAGTAAAATGTCACGTGGCACACGACTGTATGTGTATATGTGTATGCATGTATATAGGCATACATCTATGTACATGTATGTCTATGCGTATATGTATATATTCAGATATGTATATTTTTATATAATGTACATAGTTTGTGGGTATGCATATGTGTACCTGTGTATATACATGTATGCATGTATGTATATGCATGTGTGTATGTGTGCATATATTATATGTGTGTATATGTGTGTTCATGTGTGTGTGCTTGCTTGTGAATGTGTGTAAATGTGTATAGGTGCATGCATATTTGTACATGTGTGTATATATGTGTGCATACATGTATATATCATGCACGTGTGTATATTGTATTGTGTATATGCACAGTACATTTATATGTACATGCATTGGGTTATATGTGCACATACACGTATATATTTAATGTTGTACTCAGCTGCTTTATTTAATTTTCTTTACACAAGCTCTCCTCTATTTGTGCCAAGAAGTTAAGGCTAAGCTACTATTATAGCTCTCTCTGTTCAGTCATGTCATTGTGTATTTTTCTTGTAGTATTGTTTGGTTCTTTAGAATTTAACAATTTAAAGACAGCAAAACTAAGATGTTCTCTTCAACAGATAAAACAAGTCTCTGCTTAACCGCTAAGTCCTGGCTTTCATAATTTTTCTGGAAAAGTTGATTTTGCAGGGCTGAAGTTGCACACACAAGAACATTTCTTCCAAGTTTAGTTACCAAGCCACCATCCCCAGCACATGTAGTGCGTTCTAAGTTGACAGCAATGTTAATGTTTTCCTCAGGAGAAAAATACGGCACATAATTCTTTAGAAAAAAATCCCCATCCTCTCAAAGCTGTCATTCCTGCAGGGAGAGAGATAAAGTAAAGGCACAGAAATCATGGGTCAGGTGTGGTGGCTCATGCCTGTAATCCTAGCAGTTTGGGAGGCCGAGGTGGGTGGATCACCTGAGGTGCATGAATTCAAGACCAGCCTGGCCAACATGGTGAAACCCCATCTCTACTAAAAATACAAAAATTAGCCAGGCATGGTGGTGCACTCTTGTAATCTCAGCTACTAGAGAAGCTGAGGCAGGAGAATTGTTTGAACCTGGGAGGTGGATATTGCAGTGAGCTGAGATTACGTTACTGCATTCCAGTCTAGGCAACAAGAACAAGACTCCATCTTGAAAAAAAAAAAAAAAAGAAATCATGAGCAAATTCTAGGTAGTGATGAGTGGTGGTACATAGGAAGAGGAAGCCATGTGAGGATGTGAGGAGATGCAGAAAGTGAAAGGGATGAGCAGGGAGCTGGGGAGACGGGGGGCCAGGGAGGACCTGGACATCTGATCCAGGATCTGGGTGGTGGGAAGGGACCAGCAGCAGCAGGAGAGGGAAATGACCAGAAAGAGCACAAGGACACACAGGTAGAGCAAATGGTCTGGGACAGTTGAAGGAGGCCCCTGGCTTCAGCATGGAGGTATCCCCTTGGTTCACTGTGGCCGAAAAAGCTCCCAGGACCGAGGCTGATGGACGTGCGGGTGAGCTGTGCTGGTGAATGCAGTGGTGTTGACTATGTGCTTTGACAACTTTCACCAGGAACAGGAGAGGCCGGTTGGTGTGCTGACGTCTTCTGTCTATGGGAAGCGCATCAATCAGCCCATTGAACCCCTAAACCGGGACTTCGGCCGTGCCAACCACATACAGGCTGACTTCTACAGGAAGAATGACATCCCCAGCCTCAGGGCACCTGGCTTTGGGCACATTGATCCAGCCTGAAGCATCCCTGTGACCCACAGGGCATGTCACGATATCGCATGGTCTGGCAAAGTTGTACAGTGAGAAGGTGGCATCTGGAGCCTTCTTTCCCCTTCTCATGACACCTAGGAGCTTGGCTATGCCTGTGTTACATCTCTACTGTGGGCACATGAACACATTAGCAGCCTCCCTCAGGCTGCCATGGTCAGGAGCCTGAGCAAACACCTGTAGTACATGTGAAGAGTCTCTAGTGGGATGATCTTCAGCTGGAATTATTTTTGATCAAATGATACTGGAGACTGATTCATTGTGAGCACCTGAATAAAATGAAAACTTTGTTCCCCTTAGTAATGGTTGAGTTGGTTTTTGTTCACTGGCTGTCTACATTTGCCAGGATTCTTTGGGGAGGCAGTCACAGGAGTCAGGTGCAGTTACAAAGTTTCCCAAGAGTTATGGGAACTCCTGCTGCTTCATAACACAGACAACCCTGACATGTTCCCTCCTCCAAGAGGAGATGTAATGACAATTGTCTGTTGGCACAAACTCTAGAAACTACATTTTTGTTATTCCAGAGGTCTGAACCACAAATAACAGATTTTTTTGCAACTGAGACTGGGAGCCCTAGTAAGGATGGGTGGCCCTGTTATCCTGGTGGCCAGCAGTGCTCACTGTCACCATTCAGGGAGAGGGGCCAGTCATGGGAAGAGACTTTGGTGTTCAACGAACTCGGGTAAAATTCTGGCTGCTGTGTTTTCTAGATTTGTGTTCTAGGACAAGTCATGTCATCTATTTGAGCAGACAAGTCCTCATCTTTAAAGTGGAATTTCCAAACCTAGAATAGTTCATTTGGGAGTCAGTGAGCTGCTAGATTGCAGGCATAACATGAGCGCAATGTGCATGTCCCGCCCAGGGTCCCATCATCACAGCAGTGACTTGACCTTAGACAGTCTTCTTTTGGGATGCAGTTGCTTTTAACCTAAGCTGAAAATACTTACTTTGGAGATAATTTGAAACTTACCCAAGTATTAAGGTATCAGCTACGTTTTTAATGAATGAATCCCTTGGAAGAACTCATCTCTCATCTACCGTGATTAAATTTCCCACAGTTTAGCAGTGAATGGGCAGGTGGTCTAATTGAGTTCAATGCTGATTCCTCCATCACTGGCTTTATTGTTTCGAATCTGCCAAGAGGATTCTCTAAAAATAAATGACACTGAATTGCCGGCGATTTCAAGGCTGAGTGACTCCTAAATATTTATTTTTCTGAAAACAGTTTTTCCGTGTAAGTGCCTTTTATTTATTTCAAACAAATGGCAGTCGTTTATTTCGAATGCCTTTGGGTGCATTATACCACATTTATAATAACATAATAGAAAATATATAAAGTTTGGGTTATAGAAATATTTATAAATTATTCATTATTCAGACTTGATATCAACAGAGACAAGGCATCTGTAAGTGACTGCAATAAATTAATGCCAAACTAACTTATTGTCATTTACTTTAAGTCAGACCTTACTCCCTTCACCTTCTACTACATACTGACTTTCAATAGGCAGGGCTGTAATTAGCCAAGATTTGAAAAGATCTCACATTTGTTAAGCAGTAAGAGAAAATTAACTATATTTATCTTGGTATCCCAATGCTTATCATTTAAAGCCAATGAATGAATGCTTGTTAAAGTCATTGTACGTAAGATACTATATTCTTATAGTATGATTTGTTTTGTTTATACAATTTTCATCACTGGACAATTAGGTTGTTATTTTCTTTCTTTCTTTTTTCTTTTTCTTTTTCTTTTTTTTCTTTCTTTTTTTTTTGACAAAGTCTGGCTCTGTCACCCAGACTGGAGTGCAGTGGTGTAATGGAAGCTCACTGCATTCTGGACTTCCTGGGCTCAAGTGATCCGACCACCTCAACTTCCCATGTAGCTGGGACTACAGGCACATGCCACCATCCCCAGCTAATATTCTTATTTTCTGTAGAGATGTGGTCTCGCTATGTTGCCCAGGCCAGTCTCAGACTCCTGGGCTTAAGTGATTCTCTCTCTTTGGCCACCCAAAATACTGGGGTTACAGGCATGAGCCACTGAATCTGGCCTGATGATGTTTCCTGGTCATTCATGTATCCGAGCAAAGGAAAGATGAATGGTTCTGCCTTTCGGAGCAGATTGAATTGGGAAGGAAGAACAACATTGTGGATTGATGATAAAACTGAGACATTTCTAAACAGATACATAAAACATGGGTTTTCGGCAACCGGACTAGAGGCAATTTTCATGAGAGGCTTCCTGTAAGACTTAAAGGTTAAGGAGAGCATTAGGGAGAGGTTTTTTCTTGAAACCAATGGCACTGGGACCTGGGCTGATGAGCGGTGCCCTTCAGGTTTTCTGCCTGGCATTTTGGCTCACAGGGATGTTTTTAGCTACTCAGAGCTTTAAGGAGCTTTGACCAGGATGAATGCTCTTTCAGATTCAGGGAACAGGCAGTTTTCCACTCTAGCCTGGCCTCGACTGCTAACCAGTTGTGGAACTCTGAACACGTGTGCCTGAACTACTCTGCCCCTATTTCCTCATTTGCAAAAACACTGGGGAGGGAAGGAGGGCGTGCTCAAGGTTGATCGGGGATCAGCATCACCTGGGGAACCTGTTCACTAGACAATGATTGTGCTGGGCCCCCACCTCAGGGATTTCAGATTCAGGGTCCTCCTTCAGGTTGGGGCCTGGGAATCTGCATTTCTGACAAGTTCCCAGGTGATGCTAAGGCTGCTGCTATGGGACCACACCTAGAAGGGCCCACATGGAGCTTCCCACAGTGGATTCTGACAGTGACTCTGATTGCTTTTAAAAGCCTATTGTTTGGTAGGACTGGTGACATGGCTTTGGGAGAGCACAATTCTCCTTTTGAGTTCTTTTCAGCACAAACCCAGGTTCAGTGCATCCCCTGGGGGAGTGGGAGGAACTCTGTTTATGAGAACTTGGTGGATCACTCAGCTGGGGGTGTTCACTCAGGATAGATGACCTAAGGTGACCTGAGGATGAGTGTAATTAGGATGGTAAGGGAGGAAGAACCTATGAGGCCCGGCTGCTGCTCATCTTATAAATTCTACATCAGTTTGAGCTCACGGAAATGCAATAGCATCGTAGTCCAGATTTCGGTTAGAGGGAACAGAAATGCCTTGGAATAGTTCTCTTGCTTCAATCATTGTTATTAGAGATTTGGGTATATTAAGGCGAAGGCCGAGTTGTGATTACAGGATCAAAAAATTCTCGATTGAAGCAGAATATTGAATAAGTCATGCTCTACTCACACTTTGGTGATGAGGGACGGTTATCAGCTTCTATAAGTGCCTTTTACTGGGAATGAGTCAGTCCTGGCACAGGAGCTGTGCCATGCTGCGAATGCCACAGGGCACCTGCCAGCCTCGCTCACAGTCATTGCCTCATTTAATCACTACCGATCCCATGAGTTGCCAATAAGGAAAGTACTCCTAAGAGGGGCTGGGAGATGTGTTCAAAGTCACACAGCTAGTGAAAAATCAGAGCCAGGAATCAAACCAGGGACTTGTGCTTCAAATTCTAGTTCCTACAAATAACAGGCTTCCTATGAGATCATCTGGGTCCTCTGCCTCTTACAGATGCCTGCCATGAGCTATAAAAAGAAAACAAGTTTGACCAACTACGCTATGATTTGCAGTTTTGCTTTTAAACATTAGATTACACATGATTGCTCTACTTTTCACTATTTGGCAAAGTATGATTTCTTTATGTTAAAAGTACCAAACAACTTGTGTTGGATTTACAAGAACAAATTCTTCAAGGTCTTCTGTCTTCAAAAATGCATAAGCCTTGGCTGTGTGTCTTCTTTCGCCTTCTCAGACGTAACAGGCAGTTCGTGGGTCTTAGTACTTCTAGCAGTTAGTTCACACTGTTGTGAGACTGATTTGCATAGCTTCTTCCAAATTATTCTTTTGCAGTCTATGTCTGTTAGCTCTAGCAAAACATTCTTCCTACAGACAGGAGCGTAGTGGACGGAGGGGGCACTGTTGCTCGCAGAGAATCTTTTTACTGTTGAAGTATTTTTCCCTGAAAACGTACTCTAGAGATGCCCAAATTAAAATCAGACCACTAGGTACATTGAGCACGCTTGCCTACTTTCCAGGGAGCTGAGTAACCAAATTATCTGCGTCACACACTGTGTCCTAATCTGAATTACATCTCAGTATTGGCTTCTGGAGAGCTCCTTCTGAATCAACTGTGTCAAAAGGGAGAATGGATGGAAAACAAACTTGAATTCTGGAGCAAACCATGGGGAGAAAGAAGACAAGAAAATAAGATACAGGCACTGTAAATCAAAGTACGTAAAACTTTTAATGAATTAACTTTACAAAAGACAAATGGCATCAAAACATCAGACGAGTCTGGTACAAAACTAGTCCTAGGCTGTGAGGACTAACTCTGGTGATGGATGGTGACGTGCTGCTGGCATGAGGCACATGGAGCAGAAGGACGAGAGCCGTGGGTCCCAACGGGGGCCCTTGGACACCACTGGCAATGAGATGACGGGTAAGCACAGACTCCATGTGGGGGACAGAATCAACTTATTCACGAATACTGTGTGTTTGAGTATCAGACCAGTGGATGTGGTTGGTGAGCTACCGTATTTTCCAGAAAAGAGCATGCACCAGAAGATAATATACACCCCCTAGTTTTATTGCCTTAAGAATGTGTGTGTGTTTCACCTCTCTCCTCTTTGTTAGTTCTCTGGATGCTTTTCTTCTATCACGCACGCTCCTTTTCCCTTTTGCTCAGGAGCAAGCACAGTGCAAGTGGCAGAACGATCTGGGCACACGTCAGATACCAAACGGTATGCCACTGGGTCACGGGAACGAGTCTGCAGAGGCTCCATAGGACAGACAGAGCACGCACATCAAAAACGAGGGACAGAAGTTGCAGTCAGAAAGTGTGTGGTACCTTCCTGGAAATACAGTCTTCTTGCCAAAATGAAGGTGTCTCTTCAGGACGCCACGTTGCTCTGGGAAAGGGACCTTGACATTTCTGTGTTTACAAAGTACGTCTTCAGGTCCCCTTTTCCTTTCACATTGATTATTCCTCGACAGGTGCACGTGTATCCAAGGGTCTGCAGGACAAGGCTTGTTTCCTCGGTGACCTAGAAGGCAAAGGAAGACAGGAAAACAGGCTTAGTAGCGACATTCATACAACCCATCTGCCTCAAGGATGAACAGCCAAAAAAAAAAAAGCACCATGCTCTTTGACCCAGAAATTCCACTCCTGAGACCTTAGCAGAAAAGAGAGAGAGAGTAATTCACAAGAAGAAAATTCCAACATTGTGAAGGACAAATATTGTTTAATTCAGCGCTGTGATAGTGAAAACCTGGAAACAACCTAAAATTCAAGTAACTCCAGTAAACTATGGTGCTACCATGACTGCTATCACGGCTGAGACAATATTGAGCCATTTGGTCCAGAAAAGGAATTGAGCCTGGGACCTCCAGGCTATGATTTCAACCACATGACGTTATGTTTTCACATGGAAGAGACCTGGAAAAAATACAGTACATCAAACGAGGTTGGAGTGGTGGGATTCTGAATAATGTTTATAAATTGCCATGAATGTCCTTTCATGAAATCATCAATATTAATAATAGATTTTGGTGTCAATGAGAGAAACATCCTGAGAAACTGCACCATCAACCCCCGCAAGTGGCCACATCTGACAGGTGTGATGCATGTGAGCACTGGCATCTGCACGAGTGTGACGCTCTCAGTCCAGTGTCAAAGGTCTCCTCACTTCACTGCACTGACACAGGGGCCGAGGTGGGCATCCCTCTTGCACACTGCTGACTTGACAGGATGACCGATTTCCTGCCATTGCACCGACAGGTGAGGGCCCGGCTGCAGAGCCCTGTCCCGGCACTGCAGGTCGGATGGCAGTGAACTTGCTGGCTGGGACGCTTCCTTCTCAATGGAGACGCGCTGTTCCATACTGCGCCTGCATGCTCTCAGCTTCCCACCGTCCAGTACTGAGCCTCACACGCGCTCAGCTTCCCACCGTCCGGTACTGAGCCTCGTGCGTTCTCAGCTTCCCGCCGTCTGGTACTGAGCCTTGAGTGCGCTCAGCTTCCCCCCATCCAGTACTGAGCCTTGTGCATTCCCAGCTTCCTGCCGTCCAGTACTGAGCCTTGTGCATTCCCAGCCTCCCGCCGT